TTGCCACATAAGGTAATGTTCCCAGGTTCCAGGGACTAGGTCCTGGATATATTTGGGGGTCATTATTTAGCCCACCACACCATTCCCCCCCCCCAACCACTATCAGCCCTGTTCTCTTGGACACTAATGCCCGTCCAAATCCTTCCCATCCAACTGGTTAAATAAATTAGGCAGCAGTGGCATACAGTGGAGCAGTCATTAGAAACAGTGAGGGAGAATGGTTGCTGATCTGGACTACAATGTGATCTGGATTTTTATTTAAAAAAATGTATTTCTAGAGAGAGGAATATTATAATATTCTGATTAAGATCAGTGTTTCTGGGTCTAGGAAATCTAGGTTCAAATCTTTCCTGTGCTATTTACTGTGTGACACCAAGCAATTCATTTAACCTGATGCCTCAGTTTCTTCATCTGTAAAATGGGAATACTTGTACTTACCTCAGAGGGATATTGAAAGTCTGTGTAAAGTGCTTAAAACAGTGCTTGCCACAAAATATGCCCCATTTAACTGTTGGACGGTTTTCACTTGTAGCTCAGTCGGTAGAGAAACTGCCTGCAAGGCAGGAGACTCAGGTTTGATTCCTGGGTTGGGAAGATCCCCTGGAGAAGGAAATGGCAACCCACTGCAGTATTCTTGCCTGGAGAATCCCATGGACAGAGGGGCCTGGTGGGCTATAGTCTATGGCGTCACAAGAGTCAGACAAGACTGAGCAACAAAACCACCACCAACTATGGGATACATTTGTTGTTGTTCAGTTGCTCAGTTGTGTCCAACTCTGGGACCCTATTGACTGCAACATGCCAGGCTTTCCTGTCCTTCACCATTTCCCAAAGCTTATGCAAACTCATGTCCATTGAGTCGATGATGCCATCCAACCATCTCATCCTCTGTCGTCCCCTTCTCTTCCTGACTTCAATCTTTCCCAGCATCAGGGTATTTTCTAATGAGTTGACTCTTCACATCATGTGGTCAAAGTATTGGAGCTTCAGCTTCAGCATCAGTCCTTCCAATGAATATTCAGGCTTGATTTCCTTTAGGATTAACTGGCTTGATCTCCTTGCAGTCAAAGGGATTCTCAAGAATCTTCTCCAACATTTATATGTTGGATACATATAAATACTTATATGTAAAATATAAATTATATGTAAAAATGTAAGATAGTTTATATGTCTCTATATATACACACATACCAAATGCAGCCTACAAAAAGATAACTAGAAGGCTATTCTCCAAAAACAAATGTCTTTAAGATTTTCTTATTGATTTTTTAAATATTTATTTATTTGGCTTTGCTGTGTCTTAGCACACAGGATCTTCACTGTGGCATGCAGGATCTTTGAACTCTTAGTTGCAGCATGTGGGGTCTAGTTCCCTGACCAGGGATTGAACCTGGGCCTCCTTAATTGGGAGTAAGGAGTCTTAGCCACTGGACCACCAAGGAAGCCCCCTGAATTTTTTAATTGTTTTTAAAATTTTTAATCTCAGTGATGGGTCTATAAATAATTGGTATCATCTTTTTGTTTCTCTGCAAGATTTGTTTATACACAATACACAATTATTTGTATAATAAAAATGAAATTTTAAAATTTAAGAATCTAACCAAAAAAAGCAACTCAGAATCCTAATCCTTAAAGCCTCTGCTGTGGCTCGCTCTCCCCCCTGGGAACACTCCCAGTCTGCACAGTCTCACAACTCTCCCCTTCTTACTTCCTGGAGCTCTTGTCTGGAAACAGTAGCTCTCAGCTGTGAACTCCAGGAGCCCAGATGGAAACAGAGCGGGAGTGTGTTCTGAGAAGAAACAGCAAGCCGGCTGCAGAAAAACACCCCTCACCCATCAACAGTGCACATCAACTTTGTGCAACATTCCCATCCCCGATTACAACCTCATGAAGGGTAATTGACCTCCAAGGGCTTGCCCAAGGTCACAGCACACAGAGTTCTCACCTCAAACCTGCTGCCACCACCGCCACAGGGCATATGCCATGACCGGAGCTTGACCAAAATGGGGCAAGTGTTCCTGGCCTGCAGTTCTTTCCCCTGAGACGCATGACTCTCCCTACCCAGTCATCTTCAGACCCTTGCATGTTAAACCCACTTTTGTTGTGTTGTGTTAGTCGCTCAGTCCTGTCCAACTCTTTGTGACCCCATGGACTGCAGCCCACCAGGCTCCTCTGTCCATAGAATTCTCCCGGCAAGAATACTGGAGTGAGTTGCCATGCCCTCCTCCAGGGAATCTTCCCGACCGAGAGGTCAAACCCAGGTCTCCTGCATTGTTGGCAGATTCTTTACCATTTGAGCTACCCAGGAAGCCCATTTTATAGATGGGCAAGTAAGAGTCCTTGGAGAATGAAGATGGCCCAAAGATGCAATCCCAGAACTGGCCACAAGGTGGCAGCACCAGACCTTGTGACCGTCTCTGGGCTTTGCATCCTCTTACCGCCCTCTGGCGATTATGAGAAAAGGTGACTGAGGCAAGGTTGTCACCTCTGGGGGGAATACTCTGACAGAAGCAGGACTTGGGGCCCCTTGCATTGGTGGCCTTGCGTTGACTGGCCATTATCCAGCCCCTGTCACAGGGAAGTCCCGGTTACAGGGAAGCCCAAGGAACTTGGACTTTTCAAGGTGACCGTTTAGTGGAGGTGGATGAGGGTAGGACGGTATGGACAGGCTCCTCTCCACCTGCAGCAACCTCAGGGATGAAGCCACAGTGAGGAGTCAGGCCCCTATCCCCAGGATGGCTGCTCTGTCGTTAACTGTATCTTTCTCTGAGAAATTGCAAAGTCAGAAGAAAACATCTCTGCGAACATGAGGAGAGGGGTGGTGATGAGCAGCTGGGGTCTGGCCTGCACCACGGGGTCTCCTTAGCTGGACCAGGCCTCCCGAGGAAGCCAAGGCTGGGAGACCCAGTCACCGGATTCAGCAGGAGGAGCAGAAAAGGTAGGGAGCACACGGTGCGGCTGTGAGACATGAGACCCTCCCCAGGCCACGGTGCCACGGACTGAAGGGGGATGCCTTATCCCGCGCAGGTCACATCAAATGCTCCCTTTGGGGATTCTGGGACTGAGACAGAGTAAGGCCAGCCAGCCTCCTTGAACAGCTGGAAGAGTACCAAGTAATTCCGGGCGGGTGACGTGGAAAAGGCCATCTGTGAAGAGAAGGAAAGCGGGGAGGGGAAGGGATATAGGAAGGCCTCCCCCAGCGCGTCACGGCACTCCTGGCCTAGCTCCTGCCCCGGTGAGGGAGGCTCTAGGGCCATCGTAGGTCCCTTGGGGACTTAAAGGCCCATCAGTGAAGGGGGAACAGCATCCCGGACAGCGGTGACTCTGGAGACCGAACACCTGTTGGCCCCTCAGAGGCGGCTTCCATAGCTCCTCATCCCTCAGACGTGTGGTGTGACCTCAGGCCTCAGCTTCCCACCTTCCTCCCACAGGAGCACTCTGCAGACGCAAAGAGCCCGCCAGTGTGACAGGGTGACAAGGGCAGATGCCCACAGCGGGAGCCAAAACAAGCAGGTGGCGGACAGCCCTGCAGAAGCTGAGGCCACTGCCTCCCCACATGGCGCTGTCTGCCTCCGGAGGGCTTCAGGTCGGTGCTACCTTATCTGTTCAGTTCAGTCACTCAGTCATGGCCGACTCTTTGCGACCCCATGGACTGCAGCATGCCAGGCCTCCCTGTCCTTCACCAACTCCATCACCAACCTTATTTGAACGTGTGCTAATACAAAGACCATGCATTATTTCTATGTTTTAAAAAAAATTAAAGAAAAAAGTTAAACTTTCCTGAGGGGGTCTGAGGGAGTTGGCCTATCACTCCCCAACAGGGAGGCCCCAGCAGGTAGTGATCAGCTCACTGGCTGGCTGTCCAGCCTCTGGAGGGCGACCTCAGTGGACCAGCATGCCCGTCATCTGCTGAAACCAGGAAGGCAGGGACCCCACAGCCCCTCCTTGTCCCAGAGCTGCTTCTCTTTATAGACCCCTGTCCTACCGTGCATCCCCTGAAGTCCCAGGCCTGGGACTGAAGCCCTGGGTGGCCATCCACGGCCGGAGGGCCTCGGAGGGCCCTGTATCCTCTGACCCCTGGTCTCCTGGTGGGTAGAGGACTGGAACAACTCCAGCCCCCGCTGAGCCGGACATCCTTCCACACACTGACCTGCGTCTTGCAGTTGAACCCTCTCAACTGCCCCTGGAGGTGGGGACCATCCTTGTGCCCACTTGACAGAGGAGGAGACTTGGGCTCAGAGAGGGGTGCTGCTGGCCTGCCCAGAGTCCCACAGCCAGTGGGGAGCAAAACCAGACCCGCGCCCCAGGCCATCTCTGCACCTCCCTGCTGAGCATCCTGTGGCCATGAACCCAGGGATTCTGGGACACAAAGCCCGCTAAGCCTTTCACCCAGGCCTGACCCTCGCTAAGCCCTGGACAAACAGTATTAATCGCCAGGGCCGCCTTCCCTAACCTGCACTGACCTCCACTACAGCACCACCACGTGGGGAGCTGCAAACCTTTTCTTTATTGCAAACGTGATATACAGTCCCGGGGGGGACAGGGGGCACCTGGAAACAGCAGAAACCAGAGGGAGCCAAGGATGGGGTCTCCCAAAACCGAAGGGTCCCTGCTTCCCTTGCTCAGGGCAGGAGCCTGACCTGACTCCCACCACGCAGCACAGACAGGGCAGCCTTGAGAGCCCCAGAGAAGGCTGAGAGCAGGGAGGCCCGGCAGGGAGTCGGGGAGGGTCAACCCCTGGGGCCAGTGTGGAGGGAGGTAGCCTTCTGTGCCCCGTGGATGGAAACCAAGCCTGGGCTTTGTCTCCCAGGGCCCCAGCAGACATCCAGTGTTAGAAGCGAGGGGGCTGCCAGGGCGGGGTGCGCAAGAGGCCGAATGATCCTGTCCCCTGCTGCGCAGTATCTCAGCGTCGCCAACTGCTGGCCCAGCGGCCCTGGTCCTTCGCAGCCGGCATCTTCTGCTGTTTCCGCCCTCTCCCGGCAGCGACCACAAGGCTGAGCTCACTGGGGGGCCTCGGCGATGGCCTTCTCCACCCGCAGGTACCAGGGCTGGATGTGAGTGTGACGCATGAGGTCGTCAAAGGCCTCCAGACCCTCCATCACACGCAGCACGCCGTAGACTGCCTGGGGGTGGGTACAGAGGGGTGTCCACACCGGCCCATCACCTCCCCTCTCTGAGAGCCCCATGACCCACTCTAGGGAAACAGCAAATTAGCCAAGATGGGTGGTCAGGCTCTCTCGCCCCATGCCCTCTGGCTTTCGCCCCATGTTTTGTGAATAATGAATATGTAATGGCTGAGATCACTTATAGCACTGTGTGTGAACCTCACGAGGTACTCGCTTGGCCACGGGCTACTTTGGTTCTGTAAGCACATATAAGCTCCACCTGGAACACCCCAGCGGTTGTGTTATGTTGTGTGTGCTTATGTTATGTCTGCTGCTACAGCTGAGGTGCCAGCCAGGAGAGAATAAATGCGTCTGCAGTTCCTACGGCTCCCTGAGCTTTCTTCCAGCCTTGCAGCTCGGGCCTCGTCTCCCCTGGGTTCAGCAAAGAGTGCAGTGTGAACAGCAAGACAACTGGCATCATGAACAGGATCAGTGATACAATTGGCGTAGTCGGCAGGATTAGTGAGACACCCACTAATGGGCCAGTTTTGCACATGGGGCTTTGAATGAAGTGTGTGGGCTGGTTGCAGGTTTTGCCTGCCCTGCACCCACATCCCCTTTTCCAGGCAACTAACCGCATCCCCTCCCCACAAACTCAAGAATTTCCTCTGAGAAAATGCCCTCCCCCACCCTCAGGTCCTGAGATTTTAGAAGAGGGGACCCCATTACCTGCTCCAAGACCTGAACCTCACAAGCCACATATTCTACCCTGGTAGAACTACTTCAAGGACTGGTACTGAGGTCAGGCTAACAAGACCCTGTCACGGTACTTTTTGCTAGGTAGAAGCCTGGAGCACTTGTTTTCCTTAAGCCCTTGACAATCAGTGGAGCCAGGTGCCCCTGGGATGGAGGAGCTGTGAGATGCAGGTGTTGACCACACCGGGGTTTTCCCAGCCTGGGCCTTCCCCACACCCCAAGGAGAGACCCTCCGACATGTGCACCCCCTGCCGCCACCACACTTACCAGATCAGCCAGGTTCGGCTTCTGGCCCCCCATGAAGGGCCGGTCTTTGCCCACAGCTGCCACCCACTTGTTGGCAGCCTCATAGAGATCCTCCCGCACGTCATCCCGGAGGTGGTGCCTGGGCAGGGATGGAGAAGTCCATCAGAGAACTCTGAACCCTGGCACAGGTGGGGAGCGCGGGAAGGCCCGGGGACCAGCACAGCTCTCGGGGCAGGGGAGGGGAACAGAGTAAGGTACAAGACAGGGACCCAGAACTGGACTCCAAGGCCAGCCCTGCTTCCCCTGGGGTGGGGGAGGCAATCAGGAGTTTGGGGGTTTAAGTCTCAGATGGGCTAATGCTGGGGGTGGGGAAGCCCCCAGTTGCATGCATGCGTACCCACCCACGCATCCACATGTGCACCATCACCTGCGCTTGAGCCGCTTGCTGATGAAGTACATGGCAGCTGCGCCCACGTACTTGGCCATGGCGCCCTCCACGGTCCCAAAATTGCCCTCCTTGACAATGTAGTCAAAGGAGGCCAAGGCCTCGGCTGGCGTGCGGTACACGTTGGGGGAGATGATGTGTACCAACCAGTCGTCCACCCACTGTCGCCACTTCATCTCCTCCCTGCGGGCGAGGGGGACAGAGGGCAGGCCAGGTGGGCTTCCTGAGCCAGCATCTCCTCTCCTCCCTGCGGGCAAGGGGGGCAGAGGGCCGGCTTGGTGTGCTTCCTGTGCCAGTACCCGGGGCGGGGAGAGGCACAAGGAGACTCAGTCCCGCCCATGGCCCAGCCCCAGCCCTCAAGGCTTATAGCATCTCGCTCAGCCCGGTCCTCTCGGGGGGAGACCACCCCCTCCCCATACCCCAGGCCCAGCCCCAGCCCCAGCCCCACTCACGTCCTGGCCTCCTTGCCCCCATACATCCGCTGGGCCTCCTTCTCATCCAACATGAGCCAATACTTGTTGCAGAACTCAGTCACCTCCTTGCCCTGGTCATTCACCGCCTTCATGGGCGGATAGTAGGTGATGATGTCCGCCAGGGGTTGCCTTTGGGAGACATCTAGAGTTTACCCTGACTCTCTCTTCTTCCCGGAGACTAAGCCCTCACCTCCTCGGAATGAATAATACCTCCCCAACCCGAGTCAACCCGCAGAAGCTTCCCACCCTCTCGTGGGTGACACAGGAGGTCCTGCAGCAAGAGGGATTTTGGGCAGACTCTGGAAGCACTTCCCCGACAGAGGGAGATTCACGGAGGAGAGGAAGGGGCAAATCTCAGAGTGACACCCACAGCACATTCTGGACATCTAAGCCGCAGCCCCACCCCCACTCCCTGGAGGAGCCCAGGGGAGGCCTCCCTGAGACAGGAGAGGGCGTGAGACATGGTGCCAGCCTGGGCCGCAGGGGCTCCTTACCCCGACACCAGATAGGTCTTGAGGGCGCTGATGATGACAGAGGAGTCGTTCAGTTGTTGCTGGAGAAGAGGATGGTTAAGATCAAGGCTGGGAGGGGTGGCGGGGACTGGCTGACTGGCCACTGGCTGGATCACCAGGGGCTCTTCTACAATCCTGACACCCAGGCATTCTGCAGGAACTGGTCAGGGGGATCCTGGGTGTTGTGTCCCTGTCCCTGGGGGTTCACCCCGAAAACTGATGCTCATTGAGTTCTACCTTCCCCCAGGTCCCAGTCCCCACTATCAGGGAAGCCTGTCCTATGTAACGGAGACCCAAGTGTGGCTAATGGAGAGGAGGAGGTGGGAAGGACCCAGGATCTGAGCCCTGCCGCCTCTCCCACCTGGCCTCCTAGGCACTGAGGGGCTGGGTGAACTCAGAAGCTACAGACTAGGAGCCAAGCCCTACACCCCACAGGGTACAGTTCTCTGTCGATCAATGAAGCCAAGTCAGAGAGGCTAAGTGACTGGTCCTAAGTCACACAGCCAGGGAGGGAGTGGCAGAGCCCCTCCTTGAACCCAGGCCACCCAGACTTCAGAACCCATGTTGTTAAGCTCTGTGGCGCTCTGCCTTCTTTAGTTAGACTCACTGGTTTATAATCCTCAGCGGAGGCCCAAAGAGCCCACGTTCCTCCCGGGGCTGCAGAGCAGGGTCTAGTTCAGGGCTGTTCCAGGACAACCTGAGACACTGGGGCGGGGGCAGCTCCCCAAGGCTCACCAAGCTCTCTCCTTCCTGGGCCATAACGATGGGCACCTTCCTGTAGGAGGAGAACTTGATCTCGGCCCGGCGCACGGGGTTCACCTCCACCACCTGGTAGGGCAGGGCGTGGAAGTCGAGGAAGGCGCGGACCTTGCTGCAGAAGGGACACGTTTTGTACTGGTACAGCGTCAGCTGCAGGCGGCTGGACAGGGAGAGCTGGACGAGGAGCAGAGGAGGAGCTTCTGAAGCCGGGGGCCCAGGCCCTGGCCCCAAGCAAACCTTTCCCAGGGGAGTTTTCCAGGGTGTCTCTGAGAATTTCAGGAAGAATGGGGGATGGGTGGCGGGGAGGTGGGGAAGGGCTCTTGCAGCGGACAGTTCAGCCTCAAGCTCCCATCCAGGGAAAAAGTCTGTTCTGTGTAGGAGGGATCTTCTCATCTCTGTCCAATGCTAGACAGACATCTCTCCGCTCTTTCCGGTCCCAAGGAAATGTCAGCCACCAGCAGGTGTGTGCCCCCCAGATGCAACTGTTTCAACTTGGGAGTGCCCACCCCTACTTCCTAGCATGTCTGGGTGAGGGGGCAGAGCCCAGCGTTTGGGTGGCGGTGGTGGTGGTGGTTCAGTCGCTCAGTCGTGTCAGACTCTTCGCGACCCCATGGATTGCAGCGTGCCGGGCTTCCCTGTCCTGCACTATCTCCCAGAGTTTGCACAAACTCATGTACAAAGCCCCAACAGGAGAGGGTGGAATCTGGGCCCCTGGCCTTCATAGAGCAGGAGAGCCCCAGGTGAGCTTGCCGCATACTCACGTTTGAAAGTCACAGCTGCAGTCCCCCTCCCCCATTGTTCCAAGATGGGAGACTGAGGCTGGGCCATGGAGGTGGGTGGGCAGGGAGACACAGACGACTCTACTCGCCATCTACCCGCTCCTGTTCCCAGGGATTCAGGAAAAGGGCGCCTGTGGGGGTGTGGTGGGGATGCGGGCTGGCGCTGTGTACAAAGCATAGCAAAGGGCAGCTGGGCTGCCTCGCCTGGGGGGACATACCCTTGTTCCTTGTCTCAGGGCCTGGAATCTAATGGTCATCAGTGTCGTAAAAATACTAACAACACACACTAATAATACACTAAAATAGACAACCTCGGGATTTGGAGACAGGGGGAGGGGGAGGGAGGAGAAAAATGTTTGGAAAATGATAAACCGTGCAAGAGACTTTCCCTTTTCAGTGATTTTCAAATCTTCCCATTAAAAAGTCTTAAAACACGTTTGTAAAACGACTTTAAAACAGAGGCTATTCCAGTTAGCAGCATCAGTAAGGCCCCATTTCACAGGTGAGGACTTTGAGGACTGGAGGGCTTAAAACCAAGTCACTCGCTCAAGGTCAAGAGGCGACAGAGGAGGTGATTCCTGACGCCGCCGGTTCCCATAAGTCCCGAGGTTCCGCGGTCACCCCAGGGTCCCTACCCAAGGGTCGGGCTTTACCTGTGCGGCTTGCTACCCAAGCCCTTACCTCGGGCTTACCTGTGCGGCCGAGCGCTCTGCGCGGAGGTCCTGGGCACGCAGGTGCCACCGCGCCGTGTGGTATAGTCCCAGGGCGCCACCCAGGGCCAGCGCCGCCGCCCCCAGAAGCCGTGGACCCCCCTTGCGGGCCGTAGCGGCGGGGCCTGAGCCTCCCGCTGCCCTGGTGAAGCCGGCCCGGCCCTGCGCGTGGAGTCCCAGCGCCGGCCGATCGCCCAGCCTCCAGGCCACAGCTCGCCCATGGGGCCACAGCGCCCGTACAGCGTGGGCCATGTTTGCTCCGCCGGCGCCGCGGAAGGGCGCGAGAAACAAAGACTGCCTTGGCTCCGGCTCCCCTTGAAGGGGCGGGGCCAGCCGGTTGCCAGGGGTGACGGTGACGCCGAGCGGGACGGGGCAGCCCTCGTGGGACTGAGCGTGCCTCCCCGGCGCCCAACTTTAAAAACATCTGTTTAAAACTTTTAAAACATCTGTCAGAAACACCTGAGGATGTCTGCTAACTGCCCCCGGGCTTCTAGAGTGTAGACGTAACTGGGCTCGGTGGTGACCCGGAGCCGAATGCAGGAACTCAGGCATGCAGCTCGCCATGTGACCCTCAGTTCAGTTCAGTCACTCAGTCGTGTCCGACTCTTTGCGACTCCATGGATTGCAGCACACCAGGCCTCCCTGTCCATCGCCAACTCCCGGAGTTTACTCAAACTCATCTCCATTGAGTCGGTGATGCCATCCAACTATCTCATCCTCTGTCGTCCCCTTCTCCCCTCGCCTTCAATCTTTCCCGCCATCAGAGTCTTCAAATGAGTCAGCTCTTCGCATTAGGTGGCCAAAGTATTGGAGCTTCAGCTTCAACATCAGTCCTTCCAATGAATATTCAGGACTGATTTCCTTTAGGATGGACTGGTTGGATCTCCTTGCTGTCCAAGGGACTCTCTAGAGTCCTCTCCAACATCCCAGTTCAAAAGCATCAATTCTTCGGCGCTCAGCTTTCTTTATAGTCCAACTCTCACAGCCATACATGACTACTGGAAAAATCATAGCTTTGACTAGACGGACTTTTGTTGGCAAAGTAATGTCTCTGCTTTTTAATATGTGGCCCTCAGTGTCACCCATAACAGGCACCCAATCGAAAGAGACTGAACCCTTCACAGTGTCAGGAAAGCGTCATGGCATCCGGTCCATGAGAGCCGCAGAAACTGCCCAGCCCGACACGTAGCAGGTGAACGCCCTTGACTTGGGATTTCCGCGCACCCACCAACCCCAGGATTTTTTTTTCTGCCCTCCCGCACCGATGCACTGTTTCTTCTGTGACCAGAACCATAAAAGTTTCCATACACAGGTGGGGCCTTAGAAACCCTGTGTCTCGGATTTCGCCCAGTCGGAGGTGCCGAGTCGCCGATTAGCCCAGGTCCCCAGGGGCAAGATGGGGTGGAATGTGGGGTTCCAAGCTGTCCCGCCCCTCTGTCGGGCTCTTTCGCCCAAGCTGAGGGCTGGAGCCTCCACAGCCTAGGCTTCTCAGCAGGCAGCCCCGGGATGGCCCCACCCGGGGACAGGGAAAGGGGCGGGGCTTGGACAGTTTGTGGGCGGGGCAAGGCGGAGTTGAAGGTCGGGCCCGCATGCAGAGCTCTGCTCACTGGGTGAAGCGACGCGGCTCTGAGTCGGGTGGGGGCCCGGGGCAGCGTCTGCCAGGTTGTGGGGGCGGGGCCGGGGGGCCCCCTCTGCGGTGTCCCGCTCCTCCGGTCCAGCGTTCGGTCCACAGCCTCCACCTTCCGCCCCGTGCCAGCCTTTCTGTGCGACAGTCGCCGTGTCGCATCTTCTCAGGGCCCTTGCGGCGCCCGTGTCTACGGTGTCGGGACCTGGGCACGCCGGTGGACGTGAGCGCGCAAGGCGAGGACGACGGCTTCGTGGAAGCCGGTGACTCGGGGGGTGGGGGCGCTGCTGAAGCGACGTTTGCTTTCTCAGGGATGACCTCCTGGGAAGGGGAATCGAGGCTGGGAAGGAACCCCAGAGCCCTCCCATCCCCCGCCCCAGGGTGGGTCAAGGGCTGCCCGCTCTCTTCTGGAGTTTCCCGGGCGGGCACCTGCGAGTAGGTCCCTGGAAACCGCACATTGGAGAACTGTGGTCAACCGGCCCCATTTTACAGCTGGAGATACTGAAGCCGCTACAGGGTCACTCGCCCTTTGGGACTGGGATTTGCTCCAGCCACTTTTTTCAGCCCCGGTGGACACAGAGGCTCCTAAGGGGGCAGGGCTGAGCTGGACCCTCTTGGCTCAGCCAGAGCGTCTATCTGGGTGGGCGTCAGCATTCCTAGCCGCCTTTGCTGGTAGTGGTCTGGAGTCCTGGTGAATATGACTTACTTTCAAAGCATCCTGTTGCCTGCACAGCACTGCAGGGGAAGGGAAGGAGGGAGGGTCAGGAGAGAGAACTCTCAGCCTCTGGAGCCTCAGTTCCCCATCTGTAAAATAAGGATAATGATTAGTGTCTGCTGCATTGAGATGTATCAGGATTCAATGGGGGAATGAATGGGAAGAGGCTGGAAGCTTGAGAGGCCAGTGTTTTAGAGACCCCTATTTTTTGCCCACCTGGCAGCTTGTTCCACCCTTGCCAAATATAAGAAGAAAACCCAATAACCCAATCCTCCACCAAAATACTTAGCAAGTTCTCTCTTTGTCCTCCTGGCCAAGATTGGGCAGGACGTAAGGGCAGACTCACATGTGTTGGCCTGTCTTCCAGTGCTGTCTGCCCTGGGTCCCTATACTGCCTCTTCCTTACTTCATTTCAGCCGAAGGCTTCCTCTCTGTCACTTACCTGAATGGATCCCTAAGCCCAAGTCTGAGCAAGTCCCAGGGATGGCCATACTCTTCCTTGTTGCTGTGGAACATCTGGGGACAGGTAGCTGAGACCCAGGCCTCTCGCGCAGAGAAGACAGCCTCTGTTCAGACAGAGCACAGACCCTGCCAGTCCAGGAGACCCATTCCAGGATCCAGCCTCCATGACCTCCCACTGGTATCTGACCCTAGTGATCCGTCTCCTGGACGGACACATGCCCCTCTGTGGGTCTGAAACCCCCACCCCTTTTTGTCTTCCTTCACCCTCTCTTCTGCAGCTACCCCCACCCCCAAGAGTTTGGTTCTTCAGGGTTCTGTGCTGGCTTCTCTAGGTCCCAGGCATATGGCCTCGGCCAGTTTGCTCCCCTGGTTTCTGTTACCATCTGTGTCGTGAATGCCCAGCCTGTGGTTTCAGGGCAGTCCTATCCTGTCCCTGCTTCTGGAACAGCCAGGATGTCCCCCAGGAACCCCACCTTCATCCTGGTACAAGCACCCAACTGGCTGTCTCTCCCACCTAACCATTTTCTCCTCTTCTGTTCCTGCCTCCATCATCAAGGGAGAACCCAAGAGTCCTGCCAACCTCTTCACCCCCCATGACTGCCAAGCCCCTGCTCTGCCACCTCCTCTGAAACTGCCAGTTACCCCTCTCTGCCACCCCAGTGGGTTCTACCCATGTGTCCCACTGCCCCTTCATCTCACCCAAAACCTAGGAGAGAGATGAATTTCAAAATAATTGTGCTTAATGAAACAGGCCAGGCAATAGGGTATATATGCTATTTGATTCAACTTTTATATACAACTAGACTTCCCTGGTGGCTTAGAGGGCAAAGCACCTGCCTGCAATGTGGGAGACCCAGGTTCGATTCCTGGGTTGGGAAGATCCCCTGGAGAAGGAAATGGCAACCCACTCCATTACCCTTGCCTGGAAAATCCCATGAATGGAGGGGCCTGGTAGGCTACAGTCCATGGGGTCGCAAAGAGTCAGACACGACTGAGCGACTTCACTTTCACTTTCTTTTATATACAACTAGAAAATGCCAGCTAATCTCTGGTGACAGAAAGCAGATTGAGGGGTGCCTGGGGGTGGAGTATGGAGTGTGTGATGAAGAGCAGGAGGGAAAGAGCATGAGGAATCTTTGGTGGTAGGGGTGATGAATGCGTTCACTGTTAATTGTGGTAGTGGTTCCATGCATGCTCAGTCGCTTTAGTCGTATCCGACTCTTTGTGACCCCATGGGCTGTAGCCCACCAGGCTCCTCTGTCCATGGGATTCTCTAGGCAAGAATACTGGAGAGGGTTGCCATGCCCTCCTCAGTGGTTCCATGGGGTATTTATATATATATCATAACTGAACAAACTGCTCAAAAACCACAATGAATGGGGTATGGCAAGAGGACTTCAGAGCTCCCAATGGCCAAAGTTGGAATAATTTGATCAACAAAATTAAGTAGTATTGGATTATAACCCAAAGTATAAAATGAATATCCATGAACCCATTTTGATATAAATAAATGATTGAATTAATAAATAGAGGAGAAGAGAAAAATCTCTTGTGCAGAATTCCAAATAATTTGTGTGGACATCCTGCCCTCGAAAAACTCCGCCCTTCTTAGGTGCAGGCTGGGCAGGTTGACTCCTTCCCATGAGGACAGTGTGGGAAGGGGGATAAAGGCTAACTGCAGCGGAGAAGCCCAACACTCACCCCCCAAGCCAGGTGACCAAGATCAGCATCAACAGTGATCAATCATGTTGATGGTATGTACCCTTGACAGAATGTGATGCAAAAATGGCATTTGACCTCTGTACTCTTCCTCCCCTAATCTTGGTCTATCCATGAGGATAACACATGAGAAATCCCAGTAGAGGGACATTCTACACTACCTGAGCAGTGCTCCCCCAACCTGTCAAGGTCATCAAGACCAAGGAAAAGCTGAGAGAGTGTCAGAGCAGAAAGAAACCTAAGGAGTCATAACAACTAAATACACTGTGGGATCCTGAAACAGGAAAAAGGGCATTATGAACAAACCAAGGGAGGTCTGAATAAAGCATGGACTTCAGTTAATAATGTACAATTGGTGGTTTGTTAACTGTAACAAATGTATCATATCAATATAAGAGGTTAATAATATGGGAAGCTAGGTGCAGGGTATATGAGAACACTTTACAATCTTTATATAAATCAAACTATTTAAAAAATTTGTTTTTAAAATCTTGTCAAATTGTGCACTTTGAACATGCATAGTTTATATTGCTTGTCTGATATTTGTGGGAAGATCTGTTAATAATTGATTTGATTTCTGTGATGGCTTCTTGAATCCGTTTTGGTAAGTTACAATTTACTGGGAAATTTCCCGTTTCATTTTCTGGAGCATTTGCCTGTTCTTGTATAATTTGTATGGAATCTATAGTTATATCTTTCTTTTATTTCTATTTATTTGTTCCTTATATCTTTCTGTCTTGAGAAATTTTTCTAAATTTCTATGTTATTAGTCTTTTTCCTGTTTTTCGGCCATGCCGTGGGGCATGTGGACTCTTAGCTCCCCAGTCAGGGATCGAACCCACACTTCCTGCAGTAGAAGTGCAGAGTCTTAACCACTGGACCACCAGGGAAGTCCCTTATTAGTCTTTTCCAAGAATCAGGTTTTTGGCTTTGATATTCCTATTGTATCTTTCTATTTTATTAACTTCTTCTTTTAACTTTATCTTTTCCTTCCTTCTGTTTTCTTTGGATTTATTCTGTGGTTTCTTTCATACATTTTTATTTTGGACAATTTGCTCATGATGTTGGAGCCTTTCTAATTATCCTAAAACACATCCTTAAAGCCATGAATGTTCCTTATTTATTGTGAGCTCAGCAGGGCATTAAGAGTCTATTTCACGCCAGATCTGGTTGTTTGGCAGTGAGGGCCCTTCAGGGTATCCAGATTGCTGTTTGCCAGGTTTGCTTTTCAAATGGACCCTCCCCCAAGGTGCACTCCCCAGTGTCCACTCGGGCCACAGGAGAACCAGACACCCCTCCCTGCCTGCCCTTTGGAGCAGTAGCCTCATCTCAATAGCCTCCCCTTCTTTGCTCTCCAGCAGCATCTGATCCTGTCCATCCTTGCCTTTTGACTTTTCTTGGCAGTAGTCCCACTCCAGTCCACAAGCTCCAAAATCAGAAGTTGGCCCTGCCCCTTCTCCAATAATTCTCCAAAATAGCCCTCATTGGGCAGGAGCTGGTGGAAACAGCCCCTTCCCCTCCCTGCCCCTGGGGGGGATAATTCATAGATAAAAAGGGGAGGGCTCTGATCGGGAATGGAGGACCTTAAGGTCATCTGCAGAGGGGCCTATCCTACCTCTCCTAATACTGCACACACTGGGAGGAAACACTTGGTGTGCACTGGGGGTCTGTGAGAACCCTCAGCCGTGCAGGAAAGGGAACACTGGGAGGCAGGAGGAGGCACAGACAGTGGCAGAAGGGCAGGGCTTCCAAGCTCCAGCCACAGGTCCACAGCACATGCTGGGGCATCCAGGAACTCTGCCTGGACAGAGCTGAGTTCTGGAGCTCCTCAGCAGTCCCGCTGCAGCTGCACAGACTAGGCTGCCAGGGACTGAGATGAACCCAAGTTTCTTTGTGAGCAAGTCTGGGGTGTGGATGGCTCAGGACATGTGGGGGCTGGGTTGTGGGGAAAAGAGGTCTGTGTGGATCATGGGACTCTGATAGGCTGAAAAGTGCTCCCCCCAAAGGTATTTTTGTCTAAATTCCTGCAAATGCTAATGTAACTTTATTTGGAAAAAAGTCTTTGCAGATGTGACTAAGTTAAATATTTTTTTCTTTATTACTACTTAAAAAATTTTATATAGTAGTTAATGTCTTACTAATGCCTGATTGTTACAGTTTAGAGATAAAATGTGTTACTCTCTTCAGAAACAAACAAACAAGCTATTTTTTGCTTGGTATGGCTCAGTTTTGTTTTTGTTGTGGGTTTTTTTTTTTTTTTGCTTTCGTGCAGACTGACAATATCCTAATTCCTAATTCATAATATGATCTTTTGCATTCTGTTTTCAGATTTCTAAAAGAATAAAATTATTTTCACAATTCACCAATATTTGAATAGTAGAAGACAGGTGTCCTAAGCTGGTGATCCGCCTCTTCCTTCTTTCCATCTTTCTTTCCTTCTTTGCTTTTTAAATAAATTGGAGTTTTCCCAGACCACCTCAATAAAGTGAATATTGCAGTTCAAAATTTTTAGTTAAATGGGATTTGACATGAAAGTTTTTCAGATTATCCAAGTGGCCCTAAATGTCATTATGGTGGTGGTGGTGGTGGTTTAGTCATTAAGTCATGTCCAACTCTTGTAACCCCATGAACTGTAGCCCACCAGGCTCCTCTGTCCATGGGATTTCCCAGGCAAGAACACTGGAGTGGTTGCCATTTCCTTCTCCAGGGTACCTTCCTGACCCAGGAATCAAACCCAGCTTTCCTGCACTGCAGGCAGATTCTTTACCAACTGAGCTATAAGGGAAGCCCAAATGTCATCATGAGTGTTCTCATAAGATGAGCAGAGGCCATGAGAATGAGTCGCATTCTTGCTGATTTCTCTTAGCAGTCTCCTCCTTCTCTTTCCCTGCCTCCATTTCCAGGAGGATAATAACTTGTAGAAAGGCCATGCGAAGACAATTTATAATTTTTCAGATAAGACGGTCATCAGTATAGCATTGCCACGTTTAGCAAATAAAAACACAAGACACCCACTTAATAACTGCATGGGTTGTACTTATGCTAAGAGATTATTTGTTGTTTATCCAGAATCAAAATTTAATTAGGCATTCGGTGCATCTCATATTTTATTTGGCAACTGTGTGAGTAGTCCCATCTTCTGCTCAACAGATACATTCTGATTTGATCCCTTTAGTGAATGAGGACAGTGTTTTATTTTGGTTTTTTATGTGGGATCTAAGTTCCCAGACTGTGAATTGACCCTGTGCCCGCTGCAGTGGAAACACAGAGTCCTGACCAGTGGACCACCGGGGAAGTTCTGTAACTGTTTTTAAGGTAAGTAAAGGATGGTTATGTCACAGGATGTCATGGCCCAGGTAGCACAGGACTAGCATCTCCCAAAGGTCCTCCTATAGACAAGACACAAACTTGGGCAAACTCCGGGAGATGGTGAGGAACATGGAGGCCTGGACTGCTTCAGTCCATGGAGTCTCGAAGAGTCAGACACGACTTGGTGACTGAACGAACAAACAAATAATAAGACAGTGACTGCAATATCTGTTGCAGGTTCAAGGGTTTTAAAATACAGAATATGACTGAGAGGCAGTACCATCTGCCTCTCAGCATCCAGAGGGTCCTAGGTATATGCATCTCCATTTATTCAACAGCCATTTAAAAAAAATATTTATTGGACTTCCTGGGTAGTCCAGTGGTTAAGAATCCACGTGCCAATGCAGGGGACATTGGTTCCATCCCTGGACCGGAAAGATTCCACATGCCTCGGGGCAGCTAAGTGTGAGCACCACAACCAGAGATTAGCCCCTTCATACAGCAATGAAGACCTAGTGTAACCAAAAAGTAAATAAAATTATTTATTTATTGGCTGCACTGGGCCTTTAGTTGTGGTACATGAAATCGTCAACCTTCATTACAGCATGAGGGATCTCTTATTAACAGTTGGGGCATTTGAACTGTTAGTTGCGGCATGTGGGGGCGATCTAGTTCCATGATCAGGGATAGAAC